ACTGCGTCAGGTGGTCTCCTTACGCCATGCCGGGGCGGTGGATTTGAGGTGTGGTTTGGTGGATTCCACAAAGGCCCTATACAAATGGAAGGACCGCAGTGGACCGGCCCGGACCGCCCGGACCGACCCGCAGTGGCCCGGCCCGCGGTGGCCCGGCCCGCCCGGACCGGCCCGGACTATCCATGTCATGTTGGCTGCATCAAAAGAACATAGAATCTTTAATGACCACAAGGACAACCACTTCTCAGGGAACCGCAGTAGCATAGCTCTGAGTGTTAGTAACATCGACACAGTTTCTCAGTGTTTCTTACATCGGACAAGCCAAAGTTTCGAATGCTGACCTACCCAGACTGAAACATATCACAAACGGACATCAAAACCGAAAACTTGTTTGTCATCATCGAGTCATCATCGACAAATCTCCCAAAAGAGTCAAGTGTCTCCTTCATCGAACATGACAAACAACTGACTCTCCTCTCTCCGCTCTCTCCGCTCTTCATCTCAGACCGGTCCAAGGCGCCGCGTCCGAGAAGGCGCCCGCCGTGACCAGCAGCACCCCGTCGAAATGCCGGAGCCCGGCGTTGCGGACGTAGGTGGCGCTGGGCCAGTCGCGGGTGCCAGCGCCGGGAAGGTCCCAAAGCCGGGCCATGTTCCTGAAGGTCAGAAGAGGTCAGAAGAGTTGGAGGGAAATTCAGGAGTTGGAGAGTTCTCTGTTTTGGGTTGATGTGGTTTGGGGTGTTGAGGCTGGTAGTTTCGTTCCTTTTAGGTGAGCCATGTTCATGAAGTGGCTTTGTTCAGTTTGCTGCAAGGAGTTGAGAAGAAGATTCTGGGGTCATGCACCTGCACTTTGCAGCAGGTGTGTAAAATGAGGCATGTGGAATCATGTGGAGACTCGGATGGACTTATTTCTGACTGTAGCTCTGCACTCTGGAAGCAGCCCCTACACCACCAGCCATGCCAAAAGCACAGTGGTGCAGGAAGCACAAATGAAGAAGTGTTCCACCAAATTGCCCTGTTCAGAGGTGGATCGATCTGTTTCCTCTTCTCCAAGGAGCAGGGACATCGAAGCCAACTCTCCAGTGAAACTGTAGGGTTTCGGCCGCTTTGTCGTATGTCCCACGCCCACAGGCGCTGCGCCCGTGTCGTGGGGCTGCAAACCTCCGGCTGGCGCTGGAAGAATAGGATGGATGTGCAATGACATGGATTGGTGGATTTCATGTATGTTTGAGGAGATTTTAGCACAAGATATGCCAAGTCCATTGTAAGACGCTGCATGATCATATACATGTCAACTTTTGAGGTGTTCGGTGTTCAAAACGTTGAGAAACACCGAAATATCTGTGCTTCATTCGCTCATAGGTGGTGCTTTGGAAAGTGAGTGGTGCTTCAGTGATAGAATATGATAGAATCTTTCGCATATGTCTTTCAACATGCCTAATTTAAAACCATAGCATCAATTGAGTGGTTTCAAAAGGTCTGCGATGGTTGTACCTGGAATAAGCCTATACGTAACACAGCCATAGCAACTTTATGTCATAACTTGATTTGGCAACTTTCAACTTCTTTTGGTAACTTTCAACTTCTTTCAACAACTTCTTTTTACAGTTGCAAGTTTCTTTTACAACTTATTCTCAAAGTTACAATGCTCAAACAAGGAAAAACGTTTACGAAAAATGTTAGTGTTCGGTCAGTGTTCGGGTGACAAACGGTTGTCTTCTATAAATACAAAAGGAAACTTGTAGCTTTATATAATGCTTTATACTGTTATACTAGTGTTCGGCCAGTGTTCGGACATGTTGACAAGTTCTTTAGAACATTGTAAACCTTTTATAAAAGTGTTTAGAGTTCTTTTTCGTGTTCGGAAAGTTTGTCCTTTAATCTATAAGAGATTTCAAGTGTGTATAAAACAAGATTGTTCCTGCGGAAAGAACATTGTTGATGCGGTTTGGGTGCATGCCTTTGAAGACCTTCTTGAAAACGCCCAAAGCATGATCAATATTGACTTTGCACAAGATAAGTCTAGTTGCCAATCTGACACATGTTCAATTTCACCGCAGCGGCTGGAGACCATCTTACTTCCCCAAAAAAGAAAATAAATTGACAAACCCATCGCACAACAACACACACACAAATATTAACAATTATGGATTCCACACATTCAGAAGTGCCAATCATCACATCTGATTACCAACGAAAATGCAAAACACACAGAACCATCCGCGGTTCTCTTTCTCTCCAAGATGCCCCGCAGTGCGTTGATCAACGAGGACTTTCCAGCGCCAACGCGGCCCACCACCGCCCAGTTCAACACGCGCCGGGGCTCCAGCCACTCGGGCGTTGGGTAGCGTCGGGCTTCCTCGGGATCCGCCGCCTGGTCGGGCGCGTGCAAAGGCGGTCGCTCCACGTTCAGCTTGGCAACGCTGCGCAAGAAGTGGAGCAAACCTCGTTGGAGCGACCGAGGGGTGGTATTTTGAGTCAATTGAGGCACTGCCATGCTTGAGGGAGATCCTTGCAAAACACTGCCTGAGGGAGTTGTTCGATCTTCACTTTCTGAAAGTCCATTTGGGTCTGTGGACATTGGCCACCCCATCTATAGCCTATCTATTGGTAGAAAAATAAAGCACTGACCCCCGCAATGTGGTATGCGACCTGTGGATCGCAGAAAAGCTCTGCTGCAAATGCCAAGAGGCCAATAGAGACTGAAATACACCCACCTCCCAAGCTCACAGCGCCTGGGTAAAAATTGAGACTGCTTCCAATTCTCGAGAAAAGAGGTCCAGGTTGGAGAGAGTGACCGATCGGCAGTTCATCTTTGCATGGGTTGTTACACCGTTTCTCATTGCTAGCCAATCATTGCCCACTTGGGTCACTTGAAGGTCCCATGCAGCACTTGCAGGACTGTCCCTCCCCTGCATCGTTTTGACATCTCATGGCCTTCCACATCTTCAAACGGTCACTTTGAAAAATGTAGTGTCGACGAGTACAAACCTAGCACCTGAGTGACATCTATAATTTCGGACCACCAACCACCCGAAATATGGTCATTGTCTATCAAAACAAAAATCAAATGGGCTCTATATGCGCGATCGTACCTGAACTTCTGCTCCTGATGTCCTGATAACCAACAGTTGCACTGGTGACCATGGCAGTTGAAGAAAAACGCAGCTGTTTCGGCACGAGCGGGACACTTTGCTGCCTCGCCAGCACTTAAGACCTGGACGGCAACTGTTGTTTGTTCTTCTTAGTATTTCTCTGTGTCTCATTTTGGACAAAACCTCTCTCTCTCTCCAACTGGCTGTGGGTGAAGATCGAAACTTCTCAAACCACAGATTGGCATCTCTCACAGTCCAGTTTCTTTCTCCGATGGTTGGACATTGATATTCGATAAATAGAGAACCTGGATCTTCCCCACCTTTCGGGACTCGCAAGTTCCGTCGCTGAGAAGATCGTCTACAATGTCTACAATGTCTAAGTTGACCGCGAAGCGGTGTGAATAAATACAACCTGCCTGCATTCCCACCTTTCAGGACAATAAACAGTTTGGCGACTGGGGAGGTTGTCTATAATCAATCTAGTCTATTCTAATTGTTTCTATTTCAGGCGCCCCTGACAGAGTCCGGGGATCTTAGGAAAACGATCGCTTCTCCGAACGATCTCGGCTCTCCGAACGGTCTCGGCGTTCGAAGAACGGGCCAGAGGCACCCATCGAGTTGTCCAGGAAGACGCCCAGCGTGGCTTTGGCCGCCCAGAGGGCGCCATGAAGGGAGCTGGACACCACGGCCAAGGCGTCCGCGGAGTGGGCATGGAAGTGGGACGAGAGGGTGTAGAGAGTGCCTTGGTGCCATGGTTCTGTGTTCCTTGGGCATGGGGAGTGTCAAAAAGGGGTGTTTTGGAGTCTGGCAGCATATGGTTCTGACTTGGATGGTCTCATGTCCGCTCAGTGCCAAGTGGTGAAGGAAACCTCGAGAAACTGGAGCTGAGCCCGGCGTTGAACGGCGCTGCCTTTCCGGAGGCCCATGTCATTCGGTGATCGCTGGTCCCGATCCCTTTCGCTGTTTCATGGAGGCTTCCGTTTCTGGGAACCCTCACAAACAAAATAGTTTCTGGAAAACTAGATTGATAACTAATCCACTGTAAATAGTTTATAGGCCTCGATGGAAAGATTCAGCAGTCACCAGCGAGTGTTACAAAGGTTTAATCTTCCCCACTTCCTGTAACTATGATCCAGTGCAAATGCAGGAAATGGCTTCCTTGACAATTACTTTGTAAATGTTGCTCTTGTCAGGAGTCGATCAGCCTGGCACTCAGCCTGGCATATCACCCGGTCCGGACTCTGGCACATCTGTCATGGCGCTGATTCCATTGAGGGTCGTCCCCAATCCACTCAGCACGGTGCCAGTTAAAGACAACAAGCCATCATGCGCCACCATCCATTCGGGCGTTCACTGCTCAGGCTGACCCCATCAAGCCTTGAGCCCCCAAGGTCTCGAGCAGCGGGCTGTCCCGACAAGTTAACAAAAGTAAGAAGGACCGACTGCCGTGGGCCGGTTTCTTGCCGTGGCACCGCTTAAACAAGAAAAAGCAACAACTCCAAAGGGGTCTACATTTACCACGCAAACAAACTGTCAGAGCTCAAACACAAAAGACATGGACTCTAAGACCCAGACATAGCCAACTTGCAACTCTGTAGCCCCTTTGCGGGTGCAGCTTCTTCAATGGAGCAAAAACTCAGGACTGGCCGAAGCCCTCTGTTCTGGTTGCCCCAGTTGGTTGGTCATTTCACTACAAACTGAAACGACAAAATGATGGCTGCAGTGAAAATGATCCAACCACGAAGAACTTGCACGAAACAGTCCCAGCAAATGGATGATTTATGGCGGTGATTTTCCATGATCTAACTCGCCCCATTCAGCCACCTACACTCGATGCAAGGGGGGCTTTTGAGAGGAGGGACCCCCACAGAAGACTGTGACTCGATGTGAACAAGTCGCCGGGCATCTCCCCCTTTACATGAATCATCTACGTGCAATTTGGAGTATATAAATGTTGAGAGTCAGTTTGTGACCCACGCCAAGCAATAACAAACACATTATGGCCATCGTTGAAAGCCCCTGTCAAAAAATAAAACAAAACAATCAAGAATTGCACGGATCCGTTTCGACCATATTCCAACATAGAAATGAAGGGTCCATGTGCAACCTAACCTCTCAATTCCCCCAGATGTTGGGGTCATTTCCAATCTCTCCACCTCCTGTTTCCCCGGCTTCCGGCAAAAGCGCCCCTCTTTTTGCGAAGCGCCGGGAAGATCGGACGGTTCGAAGGTTGGCATTGCCCGGCGTGGCTCAAAACGGACGTCGGATTTCACCGCTCTCCCACCCGGGAACGCGCGCGGTGTGACCACGCGTGGTGTAACCACGTGTAACGTTCGTGGGTGGAGGGGGCGCCCCGCCACGAGAAACGAACGGCGTGGATTCCGTCCACGTGAACTAAAGGCCAGCTTCTTGGCTCTGGTCGACCAAATACTCCGTGAGCTCCCGCACCTCAGGTGAGCACGAGGTGTGGACTGCTATCAGAGAGAAAGAGGCAGAAAACAAAGGGGTGGGGGGGCCCTGGCTACTACCTTTTGAGGGATCTGAGTTCTATTTCAATCACTGGTCACCTACGGGATTGCGACGTCATGACATCCGCCGCCAACCACCAAGGTTGGTAGGCCTCCCACATATCCTCGTTGGAAGGGCAGCTCAGTGCAGGGCACTTTGTCATGGCAGTCATCCTGAAACTCCCAACACGAGCCTCTATCAAGGTAGCATGAAAGTGGAACATGGATGAAATATTGTGCCCGCATGGTAGAAAAATAAAGAACCCGTCAACCCGTCTGCAATTGAATCGAAAACATGTTTTTGAGGGCCAGGTGGCCGTTGGGTAGTCGAAGAGGATGGTGGTAGATGGAGGGCTAAAGGGAAAGGACGATGCGATGAGATTTTGCAGATCCATGGCAGACAGACTGTCCAGGCCCATGTCCAGCAGTGGAGTCTCGGCATCCACAGTCCCCTCCTCCGTCAACACACTGCCTCGGTCGGACTAGCAAGTGTGGAGCAAAAAGACACTGAAGGACAGAAGCCTCAGGAGCATTCCAATCTTCCTAATAGCGTTGCGTGTCGTTCGATCAACTCTTGAAGCGCAGCAAAGGCACACCACCCTATCGCACACAACGGTTTCAATCAAGGCTGTTGATGCACGTATAGGAAATGATAGGAAGCGTGTCTCCACAACATCCCACACATGCATTCTACGACACCTTCACATGTTCGGTTTCGCACCATCACATGTTCCACCAAAATCACGGCAACACATCGTTCTCCAATCTTCGCCCTGTGACGCACGTGCTCCAGCAGCTTCCCCTTGATCAAATTTCGATCCAGTCCAGCGCTCCGTGCTCCACTGCGCGGGGCGACCGCCGTGCCGGCGGCACGTGCGAAGAGCGGCTCGCCCTCGTCATCGTCGTCCGTGGGCGGAGGGCGCAAAAGTTGATCGAGCTCCTGCGAGTGTCTGAGAAGATCGAGATTCTGGTGGGTTTCCAACATGGTATGGTATGGTGCCCTGATGTTCACCTCAAACCGGATCAACAGATGGGAAGATCCAGGTTTGATGTTCACATGTTCACATGTTTCTGTTTTGAAATGTTCAGGTGTTTTACTCGAGGATGTGTCAAACGGATAGTTGATGATGGTTGTACAAATGTAGAGGGTGATCGTATCTGCAAAGAGATTCCTGTTGTCTACAAGTTCTTCAACGAAACCTCATGTTTTACCAAAAGCATCTTCTCACTGTGTGCTGGGAGCCATGTTGAAACCCACCAGGCAAAAAGCTAATAAGCTAGTACAACCCCTTTCCAAAGCCCCATTCAATCATTCAATTCAGAAAGTTCAAAAGTCTTCAACTGAGCCATCGTCAAAACATGTGACACATGGGTAGCCTGTGTAGAGTTTCTTCATACCAATCCTCTACCGAGGATTAGGATCCGGCCAAATCCTACACAGGCTACCGGCCCGTTGCTCTGTCAGGTCACTTCTTCTGCCTCTTGGTGAATGGATGTCGATCAACTCACAGGATCTCAATACCAATCGAGACGAGAATTGGGGATGTAAGGTCCACTGTATCTAAGGTGTCATTTTTCCGGTATACCTCTATAGTTATATAAAATCAATTGCAAACATGTCCCCAGCTTCTGTTTCAGCTCTAACATGCTTTGACCCTTAGAGATTTTAACCCCCCCAAACTGCAGTTCGTTCAGCACAATGGACCCACCGGGCAGCAAAGCAAGCAAGTTCCTCTCTGGCCATCTTCTGCCACGCCTGCCGAAGCCGATCGATCACATTGAGGCGAGGACCTTCGCTTGGATCCATTCTGACAAGCCCTGCAAGTCCAGTCTGACCATGGTCTTTTACCTCCTTGAGTGGTATTTTTTGTATGACTCCAGCAAAATGAGATCTTTGACCTGTATAGCAAGTCATGGAGCCAACAAATAGATGGAGAGATCATACTTTGTTGCTCATAGAATCCCATCCTTCTGGTGCTTTTTGGATTTTTGGGGTGCCAAATCGCCACCCACAAAACTCTGCGCCTCATGGGGTGAAGTCACTAGAGTCGACGACAATCGTCCTCAACCCAGACCATGGCCCGCAGAATGCAGACTGCACACCTGCTCACCGGATCTTGCCCCCCCCGTCCCCACGCGTCGCCTGGTTTTTGGCCTCGGTGGCCAAGCTCAGCGCACGTTCGACGCTCTGCTTGGATTCTTCGAGCTTCCCCAGTGACCGCTCCAACCGGCCCTGAAGCAAAATGCTCCGGAAGAGGCCTGCGAAAGGAGCGCATTGAAACGAAGTCGATCAACAGATATTAAACACATACCAGAAAAAATGCCGTTACGGCGTTTTTTCCCAAAGATGGCGTCTTTTTGTTGTGACCAGCGGAAACCGGCAGAAACCAAAAAGAAACGGCACTTTTTGGGCTTCTTTTCATTACGGTGTCTTTTCACTGAAAAATGCATCCGGCAACAAAAAGTGCCGTTTGGAGATCCAGGTATAAAAACCAACGGCTTTCTGGAAAACGAGCAGGGACCGCTGAGCTGCAGGATTCTTGAAGGGATTCACTTTTTGATCCAATTGGATGGCCCAGAATGACCTAGCTGCTTCCAATCTTCTTGAATTGGCCAAATAGATCAAATAGAAGGGATCGGGCTGCAAGTTCAAGGCAAAGCCTGACATTTGCAGAGCTGGAGGAGTAAGCTATAGAAGAAGACTTGACCCATACCTCAAATCTTCCACTGTTACATAATGCTATACTGCTTACCCTTTTTTTTTTGCCTTTCAACTTCAGGATGCACCCAAACTGCCCAAATCGGATCCGACATATTTCTTCGCCTCCGGAATCCTTCACCACCATCTGCTTGAAGAACTGCTCTGCTTCTCGCGCCGCGGTCAATGCCTGTGGATGCCTTCCGGCACCAATGAGGGCCTCTGCATGCCAGTACTTGGCCGAGCTCTTGTAATCCTCAGTGGAGTCCGAGCTCCAAACCAAGACAGTGGCACCCTGAACCAGGGTCTTTACAAATACTGTATAGTATGGTCCTCCAAATTCTTGCCGCTGGATGCCCTTGGAAACCCCAAGAATTTGAGCAAAAAAGGTCGTAGGGGAAGATTTCGAGAGGTTGTATATCATCCTTCGTACATGAAACAATATTATTACAATATACATAATATGACAATCGACAGCAACAGCAAGAGTCCCCACACTCACCCAATCCGTCTCCGTCATCAGCTAAGTCTCCAATCCGGCCGAATCCCTGGATGCCAAGGCCCAGGCCTGCTCTGCGTACTGCAACGCCTTCCCCGCGGACGCCGCACCGCCCGCGCTCTCCGAGAGGCGGAGGATGTTCACTTGGACCAGCTGGATCAAAGCAGCGATCTCCAAATCCTCGGTGCGGAACCGAACTTGGCGGTGTTTCACCGGTGCTTCATGGCGTTTCGAACCAGTTGCACGAAACCACTTGTAAGTGGTCTTAAATGAGGTTTGCCCTCCTTGCAATCGCTGATTCTCAGCCCCACCCCCCACACCATCCCCATCGCACCGGTCGGGGCTCAATGAGACTCTCGTTGAGCTTGGCCATGCGGAGCATCTCGGCGGCCGAGCGTTCGGCTTCGGGGACGTTCTTCATCACCAAGTAGAGGGTGCAAATCACATCCAACGCCTGGCTTCGCGGTGGAAGCGTAGAGAAATGACGAGTCTTGGACGAGTCTTGGGAGCTAAATCTGGGTGCTAAGACTGAGTCATCCCATTTGGGTGGGCCAATTTATGAATCATTTCGGGGTCAGTCTCTGGCTTTGGAGAAAGACTTGGAGAACCCGAGCTCTGCAAAGCTCGGGGGTAGGAGGTAGATGTCACAACTCTCATATACTCCAACGATTGCTTCAAGTAAAGGACCCAGTGTCATCGGGTGCAAGTTCAGCCATCTATACTTTCACGTTTCCTGGCGAACCACCAGCCAGCTGTCTTCTCACATCTCTCCGTGCTCGCGAGGAAAGGTTTTTGCTTCTTCCCCACCAGCCAGCCCCACCAACCCCACCAACCTCACCAACCCAACTCCACCCACGCTTCATCCACCAAATCAGCCGGCTCTTGATTTCATCCGGCCTCCACCTGGTCCTTCACTGAGGCTTTGTTCCTCTGCGCCACCTCCAAACGCTTCGCCGCAGCTTGCAGTGCTGCCTCATGGTGGCTAGTGGCCATATGCAGCTCCACCACTTGTTGCCACACCTGCACAGCTGTGCCAGCGTGTTTAGGTGCCCCAAAAAGGGAAAAGCACCACAGGGTGTGAGATGCCAAGTGAAAAAGACATAAGCAAAACCATGGAGTAGTATGAGCATATCAGAAGTGTGGTTAGAGCAAAAGGGGATATTGGACAACCTCAATGGGTCAACATGAGGCGCAGTGTACATTGTGTTCCAGTACACATCAATGGTAAGAAGAAGAAGAAAAAGCAAAAAACTCAATCTTCCTATCCCAGATATCTCAAACGTCTCACAGTTTGGCTTTGTGTTCCTATATTGAAGTGCCGCTGTTTTGCACTGCGCAGTCTTCCCCCGACTTGCCTCAATCTCTTGCTGATAGTTCTTGGTCTCCTCGCAAAGCGCATGTGCTTCACGACAGGAGCTCTGCGCTTCTTCGTGGTTCTTGGCCGCCAAATGGCAGCGCGCCAGGAGCAGCCAGGCGGAGACCTGGCCTTCTCGGTCTGACTCTTTTGTGTAGAGCTTCTTGGACTTCTTCACGAAGGACATGGCCTCAAAGTGATTTCCTGCCATAGTCAGGAGTCTTCCTGTTTCTTTGGTTGGCACTCAGGTGTACATTCAAGTCCAAGTATACCAGCTTGTGGATGTAAGCTATCCAAATATACCCAGAAAATATTGTATAGTACGTAGTGTAATGCAGGGCCTCCTCTATCAACAGTCTCACATGGGTCACATGCGTTTCACTAAGTCTCCCTATCAACCGACACTCTGCGTGTTTGGGCCGAATCCAAAAAAGAAGTCTGCTTCTCCTTGGGTTCCACAAACACAAAACACTCCATGTATGGCATGCCTGATCGGCAAATATGCCAGTCCATGCCAGTCACGGAGTGTCTGGGAAAGGAGCTTAGTTACATTCAAAGGAGAGCTTGGTAACAAGAAGCTATTAGAAACAAGTGCCACGCTACTAGTAACAAGTGCATCGCTAGTAGTAACAAGTGCCTTACTAGTTACATCTCCTTCGTCCACCCCGTCCTTTGGCCAATTGGATCTCCGCCATGAGCGACAAGGCCTGCGCCTCTCGGAAGACCTTCTTGAACTCCCTGGCCATCTCTAAGCCCTCCTGGGAAGTCTCCGCCGATGGAACCACGATGAATCAGGCGGGTGTGTGTGCATAGGATTGGTTGTTTGGTTGGATCGACAAACACTTGAGCTGCATGAGCTTGGGCAGTGGCGAAGGTGTGTTGCTGTGTATCTCGTCACGAATCTGGACTTTGAGCAGCTTCATGAAACTGTTCAAGTGCACTAAAAGTATACATCTGGACATCACAATTGCCGCGCGAAGGAGGAACTTCTGGAAGACAACCAGTGACAAGAAGGTGGATGGGGTCGCTGGAACAAACCAAGGTGCTTGACAGCTACGGCTGACTGACATTTGTTGAGCCACAGCCGCTCTGGTCAGGAATCGAGGGCAGCCCAGAACAAATGCCTTGAGGTCCAAAGCCATCCCTTCTGCTCTCCATGCCGTTTTCTCTCAATTGGCCCAATGGTGTACGCAAGTCCCACCGTTTTTTTCACGATAACATCCTTGCAGATGTAGAAAGAACCGCGCATCCTCAAGTAGTTACTAGAGTGTGTGATCATCCAAAAGACAAAAGGAAGTTGATCCTGTGGTCACCTTTCCAGCTTGAAGAAACCCCCATGAAAGAACATGGAAGTGGACCATGGACCGGAAGACCAGGTCAACCGCTGCAAACCAGGAGGTGCCCTGAACGACCGTGCCAGGAAACTTCGTGTGGATTCTCTCCCAAACGGCTCCTTGACCAGTGGCTCAGCCTCATTGTACTTCTTGTGGTTCACATGTGAGCGAGCCTGGCACACGACGTCGTTCCCGCCAGGCAGGACCTGATTCGTTTGGGTGTACATTGAGTATATCATATATATCAGTATATCCCATTACCTGTAACGGTGGATGATGATGCTTAGTAAAGGCATCTCCCCAAAGTAGCGATAATCTTTACTGTTGCAGGTAGTGGAACACACCTTAGGTGTACGTCATGAAACAAGTCCGTCATGCTACTTGCTACGCATTGCCTGAAGGCCGTTTCTTAAGACCTGAACAACCGCAACCACGCAAGGAAAAACACAAGACTAGTAGGAGCATAAGGAACGAGAGCAATGTCGCTGGTGACAAACAGCAACCACATGATCAATGTTCAGCTAGAAACTGTGGGTTCTCAATTGTTCCAAGCTGCCCCAAGCTGTGCCCTCAAGGATCCCAGTGGATCTCAAAACCAAAACACGAACACAAAGTACCTCCGCCTAAAGCATCCTAAAACCTCTTGATTGCGTTGATTGATAAGACCTCCCATACAACGACACTACCCGTCATACAATATGACAAGGGATTGTGTGGACACGAATACCATTGACCCAATTGATCCTCTGCGGCTCAAACCCCGCGGATCGCTGGCACTTGGCGCCCTCACCAGATCGATCAAGATGTGCATCTTCTGCTTTCGGGACTTGATACCCTCGACCAGGTCCATGTCCTTCTCTGAGAAGTCACCTCAACTCCGCCACAAAAAGAACTGCTCGTGTGGCAACAGTGGACAGGAAGTGTGGGACGACTTGTCCAGCTGTCGGTGGTGCAGGAGTTCACACATACGTTTTTTGTATCCACAGCTGAGAAGCATCAATTGTATCACAGCTAAGCTTAGCTTCTCAGCCACACGACCGATGCTTCGATTCTTCGACCGAGACAGTGTCGGAAGAACGCCCAAATCACGTGTCGTTCGGGTCAACACGACTCAGATGCCTAGAGCCTCAAAGCATCTGGAATGGCATTTCTTAGCTGGCCATGTAGATTCCGCACGTTTCAAAGGATTCCAAAGAATGTCTTGCTTGCAACAAAAAGGGCTCTGGGCGCCAAGTTGCCTTCCAGCTGGGACAAGAACACCTGGAGGCTGCAAGATTCGATGTGGAGCTGAGAGGGGCCCTGCTATCTCCAGCAAAGCCATGGATGTGACCCGCATCAAGCCAACCAAGTTCTTCCATATATAGACCAAGTCCAACATCACGGCTGGGCCACCACAGTTTAAGCATCTGTCAATATCACGTACGTGAGATTATTAAGCAACCCGATGTTGAGATACTATCCAAGACTCCTTAGGGTTTCAAGTTTGCTGCGGTCCTCTCTAATTGCTGAAGGTCCCCGAAGGGCAACGGGACACTGGGAGTTTCATTCAAAATGGATGACCCAAGCTGTTGCATGCCTGTTGGACATGAGGAGCGGCAGTCTGTCCACTCATCAGGGCAGCTCAGTGAACCGTACACCAGTATCAATTGAGACATCATAGGATTTGAGTATACATTTGATGCAGCTCGTTTTCTCCTGTGATGGAGAGCATTTGGAGCCACAACTGTCCCTGTTTGGTGGCCACAACTGTCCCTGTGGGCATCCCGCAGCCTGTTGGTTATATTCCAGAAATGCATAGGACATGGTTGGTTTGTGCTTGCCGGATAACCGGATACATGTCAAAACGGTGTGAGGACCAAACATCATATGTTCCAAACGGTGTGAGTCGCATGATCTTCACACCAAACAAATCCCCCTTTTTTGGGACCCCCAGAAGAAATCACATCAACACTTTTAGGTCCTTAGGCCCTTAGGTCACTACCACCCCCTAGCACTTCTAGGTCTGGTCCTGCTACCACCTATAGATCCTTAGGTCCTGCTACGCCCTGCTTGGGCCTCCCCCACCGCCCCCCCCCGGCGGGCTCGATCCTTCAAGGTCGCCACTTCCTGGGAGCGGTCGAGCCGGCACGTTGCGGTCGAGCGGCCAAGTGGAGAGGCTGGGGTCCAAACACGTGGGTTCAGTTGTTGATGTTTCCCGAGATGGGGTTCTGATTTCTGCCTAGCTATCAGGGTCTATGCTGGTGTAATTTACTTTTTCCAATCAGTAGTGGTTCCAAAGTGTGATTCATATGTTTGGATGAACGGAACTGAAGGATCCCCATGGGCTTGAGATGGTGTTACGTGTCCGAATGCCGTTGCACCCTCATTCCGCAAAGCTCAAGGAACGACTCCGTTTCGTTGGTGCATGAGCACGACTCCTGCTCTCCAAGTGTCTAAGTAGAGCTTGGGGTCCTTCTCGAAGCGCTTTAGGGAGACTGAGGCCAGCTCCTTCGCCTGTTCAAGGCAAACAAACTGAAAAGACTTCACCTTCGCCTGGTGGAAAGATGCAGGAAGTCTACACAGCAGGAACATCTTTATCGTGTCACTTCTTTCGCCTGTCCTGTTCTATTTTGGATAGACAGTGTGCCCATATAGTGTTATCTTGTCTTCTTCAACGGTTTATCTCCTTTCTATCTGCAGAATGATGTTGAACACGCACCCAGTCTGAGTTGCAATGAGGTTTTCTTGGCTTTCGGCTACCAGGATGTCATTTCAAGTATATATATATGTCGAACAGGAAAGTATGGAAACACAAAAAGGTGCATGTTTCAAACATCGTGGTTAAACCGTTTGAAGGGCACCGGGTTCTCTGTTCGATCCTTCTCTGTGTTCCGTTTACGTCTGGCACCTTCACCAGTTTACGTCTGGGTCATGGCCTGTGACATCCATGTTTGCGTCGACGCAAAGCGGTCCGGTGGACGGGGCGCACAGGGACGAGAAGGGCCGGTGGCTGGTCCGTGCTTTCGTTCTCAACAAGTGATTCGATCCCAAGCACTTCTGAACAAGACATCAGCCGGGCTCTGGCTCGGCCTGCTTCCGCTCGCCGATGTTCAGCAGGGCTTGCAGTGCCACATGGAGTGTCACAGTCTCCTGCGCCACCGGGTCAATTGTAAAAGTCTTCGAAGTGTCTACAAGTCTAGAATCACCTCAACGGCTGACCGATGGACGATCCGCCTTAGATCCAATGAAGTATCTACAAGGCAGGTTTCCTGGAACATTGGTTTGGAAAGCACCATTCATTGTCTTCCACAGGTCCACAGGCAGGTCATAGATTGTTTGGAGTGCAAGTCTACTTGCCGTAGGTTTGTAATCAATTGAGTGAGTGTACTTGGATTAGTGGTTAACAAATGTGAGGTTGCAGCTAAACAAACCAGGACAAGAAGAAGCAACAACTATAGAAACATAATGAAACAGCTAAATGCCATCTATGATCTTCGTTTTGGTGGCAACATCTAAACAAACCATGACCGATAGGTTGTTCTTACACACGTTTCTATTCCACTGCAGGGTCTCCACGGCGCCTGGTTGGGCTCTGGATATTTCCGCGACAACTCCACGGCCTCCACCGCCTCGCGCGCGGCGATCTTGCCCTGCTTCCTTGGCGGCCGAAAGGAAAACAACAGCAACCTGGACCTGGACCCTCAAAAGCGGTGGTTAATGGACACCCCCGTCACCCCTAATTGGGCTATCAATGGACACCCCCAAATCCGTGGCGCTGCAAATATTTTGCTTCAATTCTCGCCCTCCGACTCTTCAACCCTCCAACAGCCACCTCATCCAAGAGCGACCCTTCAGCTCAGGAGCCCCTCAAGGGTCATCCGCCAGATGGCGATGGTCTTCAGCTCAGCGATCTCCAAACGCCGGTCTCCTGGGTGGACGAGCGGGACGAGGACAGACGAGGCGAGTGGCAAGGTTCAAGGTGTTCAGAGTTGAAGCTGAGTCTGCCGAAGAGAATGCTGTGGCGAGGTGTTCAGAGTTGGGGAGACAATGGAAGAAGCAGGAGAAAAGGGGGGCAGGACCATCCTTTGCGAAGTAGCATTGTAGCATCACATATCATCACATCATGCATCCCAAAACATCCAACAGATGTCAGCAACGTGAGGCAGTGAACAATACTACGTGAATGGCAGCACAAGCTGCCATCCTGGCATGGAATCACAAAACCATTCCTTTGCAGCGTAGGGGTTCAGGATGTTCTAGAGGAAGACTGTTTTCTAGCCTCCAAGGAGTTCCACACCTTCCACACACCGGTGCGCTTTGATCAGGGGCCTGGCGCGTGCCCGGCTTGGAGGACATGGCTCCTCCCTGCTCCTTCGTCCCAACGAACTCCAACCTCACCACAGGACCGTCCGACCGCCACAGACCGCCCAAATGGGTCTTTCGGATTCCACCAACTGATCCTCCCAAAGCCAACGAAAACCTCCAGCCGAGATGCCAATGTCCCGGTAGATACTCAAGGCCTCCAAGGCGTTCTCCACGGCTCCAGGCGTGTTCTTCTCGTTCAAACACGCCAGAGCCTTCGCGTGGAGCGACATGCCCTGCCTCTTGCGATCGCCCACCACGCCAAAGAGCTCGTAGGCCTCAGTTCTGAGGGGGTGGAGCAAAAGAGGTTTGGAGAGCAAAGTGAAGAATCGATACATATCGAAACATGTGGCTCATACTGCTTGGCCTTCAGTCGGGGTGGTAGGGGCTATAAATAGACCCATCTGGGCAGAGCGGTTATAGATGAATCTACAGTAATCTAATATATAATGCATGGAGGGAGGTTTCATTGATCAAGGGTCTTCCACTGAGTCATGCAAACAGTCCACACACCTGGTCTTCCCTTTTGAGCTATACAACAATCACAGAATGCTCATCCAAAGATTCATTGGTCTCCCATTCAGAGGGCATGCATGTCCCATTCAGGGTGCCAGGGGCAATACTTTGCAACTTAAAGGTTCCGAGATCAGATCCATGTGGAAAGGACTACGGTGACTACAGTCCTTGGGTCCAGTCTGTCCTATACCCAATGGGGGCTTCATGTGTGGCCCACCTCCGCTTGATTCTTCGCATCTGAGGTTTGTTGGTGAAACCGTTCAATGACAAGTCGACATGCCGAAGATTTCGACTAACTCATCGATCGCCTGGCCTGCTTGGCATAGCGGTGCATTTCTTTAGGCTGTTGAAACTTGTGCAGCACATTCACCATCCTTAGACATCTCGCTTGCTCGACTGAGTGTCGGGCAGCCGAGCAGTGGCTGGGGAGGGGGGCTGACTTCGGTTCAAGGGGCCCTGAGGAACAAAAACCCGTTGCAATACACAGCAATACACGGCGTTTACTCAGCTTCTGTTTGGAGGTTCTTTGGATGTTCCAATCATTTCTTCTATCCTTGATCTGCAGGGTTGGAAAATGATGTTCCCTCGTCCATACGTGGTTGAGAACGTTTCTATTTGATAAACTTGTCTATAGCTAGGGATAGACCTGACAATTAAAGGCTACCATAGATTCAAAATACAGTATGCTACTACGTACTTTGCCAAAGTGTAGCCAGGTCCCTTTGGTGCGAAGATTGCAAATCAAAAACCCTCCCCCAATCTCCAAACACGCACGGTCCCAGCGGCATCAACGCCGCTCGACCCTCCCAGAAGGTGTCGCCCAGCTCGTTGAAGATCCGTTGGGATTCCTCGCACCAGCGCTGGCTCTCACCGCGCATCTTGTGCAACGGCCGGGTCACATTGACCTCCACCAAGGTGTACAAAATCACCTCGGACCGGCCGCGGCAGCGGTTTGCGGCAGCGGTTGCCGCAGCGCTGCGGTTTGCGGCACGGTCCGTTGGTTGTTGGCCAGGTGTTTGATGGTTTTTGGGGGCACCGATGTGGCATGCAAGGATCTCTTTCAAGCAGCTGAATATTGGGGAAACTAGGGGAAAGTGGTGGGAATCAGGTGGCCTTTGGGCTTTGACCAATTAGCCAATTAGTCACTAGTCAATTTTTGGGGGGGACAACTGAGTCATTGGCAGCAAAGATTTCCGGTGCCAACAGGATGCACAGCTCTTAACAAGCCAAGCGAAAAAGTCCACAGTCTGCGGTTTCTTCTCTTTCCCAACAAAAGAAACTCCAATATCCCAATGTTGATTTTTTGTAATTGTTCAGATTCCCTCCTAGGAAACTCCTAATGATACGAGCTCAAACTTCACTGACTGGAGCATCCAATCACATACACACACACACACACTTAGATTGTTGCTCGCAAGAGCTAGTATCAGTACGAAGTTCCCTTGACTTGATGAACGGAATGAAGCACAAGCCGAAAGGTGGCTGAGTCGGCGAACTTGTAGATGCTTAACAATTATGCATTAGCCGCTTTACTGAATACCTAGCAGACCGCCGATGCATTAGCCGCTTTACCGAATACCTAGCAGACCGCCTATGCATTAGCCGCTTTACTGAATACCTAGCAGACCGCCTATGCATTAGCCGCTTTAAACAGTTTTAACAGTTTTGCAGGTACGTTTTCACACCTACCACTGCCGGTCTTCGTTGGCCACAGCAGCAGTGGCAGGTCTGTGGCCCCCCTGCCTCTTTTTTCCGCGCTGAGAAACTATATGTTAGTAGCAATACCAGGAGCCCTTAGTAGCAAAACCAGGGGCCCTAGTAACCTTAGGCACAGGTGTGGACACACACACACACACACGAAGCCGTACTCGGCGCACTGTCCCTTGCTTGCAGTTTTGTAGCGTGGCCAGGAGTCGCTAGTAGCGTCCTTACACCCGTAGAAAGGTCAGAGGCCCCTTAGTAGCGTTGTTTGTGTCGCAAAGCTTTGTACACATAGCGCCAATATTGGCGCTTTTTGAAAAGTACTAGCCACCTAAAAAGCCTAAGAAAGACAGTGAGAGCAAACAAAACAAAAGCAGACTAAGAGGGCAAGAAAGAAAGATAGGTGTAGTTACGAGGCCCACTTAGTTAAATGAAAGTAGAACGCGGGCGGGACATTTTGTCTTAAACCGCCCGGGTAGCTAGCAATAGGAAAGGAGAAACAGAAGGAAAGGCACCAACACACAAGTGTGTTGAGTGCGATTTCCTTCTGTTGCCCGAATAGCGGGTGGGATAGCAACGGAGGCCCAGGGGCAGGGAGGTAGGGGGGAGGGTGGGTTAGGGTGGCCCGTAGGCTTGCCATCATTGGCATTCAAGTAAAGCCGATTTGGGCCGGCGCAACCCATTGTCTGAAAGACTCAAGAAACGAAAAACAACAAAAAGAGAGAAAGAACCGAAGAGCATGAAAAGCACATGCAACAAAAGCAGTCGGTGGTTTGACATGCCCGCGTCCTAAGCCCCGCCTGTGATTACTTAGACGGGCATGAAGGTGCAAATCCGAACCGGTTGAAATCTCAGTAAGCCCTGCGGCACAGTTTCAGTAAGCCCTGCGGCACTGGATCAGTGGTATCAAGCAAAGACGGTCAATCCAAAATGTAAGTCCGGACTAGAGTGTGAGTCTCAGTAAGCCCTGCGGCATGGTATCCCCCAGGATCTGGGTCTATCACACCACAGCCCTCAGTGGGACCCTGTGGCGAAAACACACTTAGATTGTTGCTCGCAAGAGCTAGTATCAGTACGAAGTTCCCCTTGACTTGATGCACGGAATGAAGCACAAGCCGAAAGGTGGCTGAGTCGGCGAACTTGTAGATGTTTAACAAAGTTTCAACTCCTATGCACTAGCCGCTTTACTGAATACCTAGCAGACCGCCTATGCAATAGCCGCTTTACCGAATACCTAGCAGACCGCCTATGCATTAGCCGCTTTAAACAGTTTTGCAGGTACGTTTTCACACCTACCACTGCCGGTCTTCGTTGGCCACAGCAGCAGTGGCAGGTCTGTGGCCCCCTGCCTCTTTTTTTCCGCGCTGAGAAACTATATGTTAGTAGCAATACCAGGAGCCCTTAGTAGCAAAACCAAGGGCCCTAGTAGCGTTCTTTGTGACTGAAAACCTTAGGCACAGGTGTGGACACACACACACACAGACACACGTCTCCCTAAAAGCTTGCATCCCAGCCGATCCCAGTCCGATTTTTAGCCTCCAAGTTGCTGCTTCCGCCTTAAAGTGCTCAGCAGCTTGGAAGCGAGCTAGCTCGATCTCACAAAGCAAATCGATCTCTGGGGCTTTCACCTTCGGTCTCCCGCAAGCGGCAGTGCTGCGCAGTTTTCGAGGGACACTTGCAAGGTGCCATAATCTAGACTATTGATGAAATGGAGACGTAAACCCATTCTGGCAGGGCCAGCGGTTATATATACAGTATAATATGTTTAATCAACAATCGTCTACATTAGGTGTCGGGGTGTGTTTGGGTCAGTTATAGTATGATCAAGGTAGGAGGTTTGGCAGCCACTCGAACACCTGCTCAAATAAAGGATATCAGCAATGTGCTTCAAACCCAACTCTGTGGCTGATCTTCATGATGTTGCTGGGTCTGGGTCTTCAGACCCTGTGACCACCGCGACATGTCCTTGCCACTCCCATCCCGATCACTCACCGACCGGAGAGGGCGCTCCGCACCGTGGGCTCGCCGTTGACGGCACCATACTCGCCATCATCCTGCTTGGCCAAGACCTGACAGCAAGGGCTCCGTGCCGAAGGTGTCGATCGGAACCACATCGGTGGACATCGGTCTGTGGACGAATGGTGGACGTGTTCGTGGGGTCGTGCGGTCGTGGGGTTGGTATTTCGAGGTTTGGTTGGTTGCACAACCATGCGCAACCATGTTTCAGCTCAGCATGTTTCTGCTTTCACCAGCCTGGCCCACACCTCAAAACTTGGGACTTGCTTGCGAACTTCGTTCTCAGCACCGCACCACTGCGCCGCGCTCCTCTCACCACCCTCGTCCGTTCCCTTGCTCCTGATGTTCGGCAGCCCTCGGAGCTCCTCCCGGCCTCGATCCGGAAGGCCTCGGCCTCGAGAGCGGTGTCCCCGCTCTCGAGGTAGTAGTCCCGAGCGATCTGCGCCTTCGCTGCGGCGAGGCGTCGAGCGGCGTCTGGCCGTCCGGACGCTCTGGACGGAGACGGACGGAGGTCGGGCGAGGTCGGCGTCGGGGCGACGGGCGAAACACGGGTGTGGCACGGCCGAAACTGGGCGCAAAGTGGAGGAGTGGAATCAGAGTGGTGAAAGGGGGGTGAAGCAAGTTGATACGGTAAACCATGGCTGAAGAGTGAGTCGGTCTTGGCGCCACATGAAAAGTGCTTCTTTCTTTTTGAAATATGGTGTTCAAGCAAATGTGGAAAGCTTGCTTGAGTGTGATGTTCTTGGGGGGGCGGGGCTTCAGTGGAGTGCAATATGAATCCAGACCCGTTCAAGTGCAAACATTTAGCAGTAGTAGTATCAGTCCATCAAGAACGTTTTCAATGAGCATGGCAATGCATGCCCGTGTATGTGGAAGAAAGCACAGGCAAGTCAACACTGTGTCTCTATAAGCAACAAGTACACACATGTAACCGCCCAAGGCCAAGAAACACTACTCAACTTGACCAACCTTTGTCAGCTCTGTTGTGCAGCCATGCATGCCCTCCCAAGCGGCAGAAGGTTCGGCCTGTTCGAGCGCTTCTAAGATCTTCCCCAGCACTAAGAGGTCCTCCGCCTTTTTGAGGATCTTCCGCGCTTCCTTCCCGTGCTGGGTTTGTTTGAGCAGAAAAAGAGAAGGGGGCTTCCCTGAGCTTCAATGGTAGGTATAATATGGTATATTATGGTAGTATATCAGTATATCTGATCATGGGATGTCTAGAATCTGGCAGCATGGCTGAAAATCTTGGAGTTTCTGACAACCCTTGCGGACTGCATGCTTTCTTCCTTAAAGAGTGAATGAACTGATATGAACGACATCCATCTGTGAGTCATGAGCCGTTGATAAAAATGTGGATAAAGACATGTCCAAAAGGAAACATCCACCCCAAATGGGTTGCGGTCCAGTCCGTCATCCTATTCTGGGTGTGGGGCCTCTTCATTTGAGATAAAACCATCTGTGCTGGCTGTCAAAAAACCTTGTTGAATCTCATGCCATCACATAGATTTTGATTGATCCCATCGCTTCCCACAGGTTTTGGGAAATTTTAGACTTCTGCTTGGAAGGGAGGCATCTCTTGTTCATCCTTCATGGTTGGGTAGAGCAATCGCTTTTGGCCATTGCTTTTGGTGCGGTCTCATTGATTCCCTGTCTTTTTTGAAATTCTGAGATTGAAGGCTACTTATATACTGTAGATTTGACGGTTGCTCACTTAGGAGAGGTTTCCCAGTCTGTTTTGGTTGATGAAGGCAAGCACATATCATATGCATAGAAGAGAACTCCGCAAAAATATCTCATGTGTTGAATGGACAAAATGACATCAACGTTGGGACATGTTCAGTACCACATTCACCACGTTATTCACCACGCATCGCTCCCAGGTTCAGACCATCAAATTTGATACGTTGAAGGTACACTGCCACTGAAGAATCCGGACAACAAAAGCGATCACCCAGGCTCCATGGGACACCAGCCTCGTCAGGCTCCATGGGCAGTCTTGACCGGCCGGGCGGAAGAACGCCGTGTTAGGGTGGCCCCGACATGTGACGCCATGAATCTTTGAGCCTCACTGGCAGAAGTAATGACACTCAAGAATGGCCCAAATTCCCCACCGGCCACCCAACATGTGTGTCTTGGTACGTGTACACCCATCCTGGAGAGAATTCTGGGATACCAAGGAAATGTGAACCACTTCAACCAAATAATGACATTTGTCCTAGGTGTGGTGGGATGTCTACCTACAAAGTAAGTAATCCGAGGGGCAACCACGGCAACCAAAAAGAACTCCGAGTATAGGATCCCAGCTGGTCAGTTGAGGGACAGAATCTGGTTCCAAAACGAACGGACAAGACCGACGAACAAAAAACGATCGAGTCGAACACGACCTCCAAGGCTGGACTGGCTGAGAGCCGTGAGACCCCGGGTGACTCTGAACAAAAAGACACCAGCACACACACACACACCCGCGCGAGCAGGTGCGCGCTTATGCGAACCTGCACTCCATCGCCCGGCATGCGCGCGTCGCGGGCATCGCCCGCCCAGGCGATATACCTCGACGTCTGACCGTCGGGGCAACCGACCGAGTGAAGAGTGGTCAGAAGTTGTTCCGGTGAATTCACCTAATCCGCAGATTTATGTAGATCGGTAAGTAACCCCCGTCCCCCCCAAAAATAAGGATCAGTGTCGTTTATATATCATGTTTATCTTCATATTTGGGGTTTATCAATCAAGAATCTACGGCCCGGGGAATGGATTCCGTGAAGCTTGGATCGATTTTTTTTGGGCCCACATACACGTTGGAGAGGGGTCACCCGATTCAACCTCTTCAGCAGCTGACTATGACTGCGCCGGTCTATGACTGCGCCAGGTGTAAGAATTTACACACGAATCAAACATAAACAAACGAACAACCAAAAACACACACACAAGTCTTCTTTTTTGTTCACTGTTTGCAGGGATCTTGGAAGGATCTAAAATCATCTAAAATCTATTGAACAGGATTCAGGTTTAGCCCGTCCTGTCGTGCCTCTCGATCGATGACCCACAGCGAGTCGCTTGGTTTTGTGAAACCACAAAGAACATCAGTCAGATACAATAGGCAAAACATTGCAAAACGTAAAGGCAAAATATGAAAGGCAAAGAACCAATGGGTATAGGCAATAATCTGTCCAGCTCCTTCCATCTCCTGGCTATGTTTCCTTGCTTCCACCTATGGGTCTCTTATACCTGCCAGCAAGATCTTCAACATACCCCTCGCAGTTGTATCTGCACCACCTCCCTGACATGCTCTGAAATAGCTTTGTCTCGTTGCAAGATAAACACTGATAAACACTCAGAAATAGATGCAAATAGTACATTATATCGATGAGCTCACAAATTGGGCCAGGAGGTTTCTCTGCTGTCCAGTTAGAGTTTGACACACCCACCCCAGCTTCTGTCTGTGGCCCGGCTCACTAAATATCGACAAGTCATGAATGTAGAAACCGCTAGCCGGAACCTGACCTGGGGACTGTCTGCTAGAATATGTTATATATTTCTGTTTGGATCTACACCCATGTCTGGCTTCATAAGTAGGAAACAATGCTTTTTACCTTTCTCTTGCAAAGGCCTGCCACTCAAAAAATCATGTGTCCTCCGCAATTACCAACAGGGTGCTTTCCACATTATATATTTTCATTCGCGAGGACGTCTGAATTCTCCCTGCCAATGGCCAAGATAGCCAATAATGTTGTCCCTGGATTAATAACGTACCCCAGAATAGTGACACTTTTTTCCTGCACAGATTAATAAAGGCCCCCAGAATAATGTTTTTTTTTGGGGGAGGGGTAGTTGTAGTGGGATATTTTTTATTGTTATAGTTTACTTTTTCCCTTTTGAGTTTGCTGAGATTTGCTTATCTTACAGGCTTTTTAGTATTGCCAGAGATAGCTAAGTAATGATTCCTTTCATTTTAGTATTGCCAGAGTAGCTTCAGAGGTAGCTAGCTAAGGATTCCTTATTTATTTATCAATTGATTGTTTTTCTATCATATTGTTCTGGAGTCTCAATTGTTGATAGGGGGGGGGGCCCGGGGGGGGGGGGGGTTTATTAATCAAGAGTCAACATTAGCCCAGTTGAAGCTCCTCAGATCCTTTCCATCCTCTGGGCGCCCTTCCTCCCGGCCGCGCGGCTCGCGCAGCGGCAGGCTCCGCCCGGCGCCGCCGTAGGTCTCCGCCGCGTCCAGGTGCAGCACGCGGCGGCCGCTGCGCGCCACGGCCGCCGCGACGATGGACTCGGTGAGACCGGTGCCTAGGACCACGACATCGGCCTGGAGGGGCTGGGGAGGTGGCTGGGATCATCTCCTAGGTCGGTGAGTTCGGTGATTTGGGTGAAACATAGGTGTTTGATGGTGTTTGTCTGATCCTGAAAGCACTCTATCTGAGCTTCAGTCTTGAAGCAACGAGAGAAACACAGTCACAAAACTTGTTCTTGGAGAAAGCATGGAAAGCGGTCGCTCAGGCTTGTTGAATCAAACCACCTCGGAAACTCATTGCGTGATGAACCCAATGACACGCTCTGGGGTCGTACGATAACAATAACTTCCACATTTAGGTGCCACCGAACCTGTCAATCAAGAGGAATAACATTAATTACTTATGCAGCAGGTTACCAACTTCACATGCAACAATGGCCGCATCTTGCGCCTGACACTCGTCATCTGTCAATAGTGCCATGGGAGGAGGAACAACACAATGGGTTTCCAAGTTGCTGCTGCAGTTCTGAAACGTTATGAAATCTTCGACCGTCAATCTTATTCGAACTGTCTGGCACAAGTCCGCAAATCAGCTGTGACTGTCCTTCACTAGGCACGCAGTCTGCATGTGCTATCGTGCTATCTGTGAGCTTTGGAAGGCCAAATGCTGCATTTCTTGTGGTGTGGGTGGACAATTGGCTTTGCAAGGGTAGCAGTAGGGGGGTCAGCAGGATCGGACACATCATTCACTGGTGCAGCTTCCTTTCGCTAAGTGAGAACCCCAACAGTAAACGCCTGGTCATTGGTTTGTTCTGCAGGTGTCTTGAAAAAGGCCAGTGCGCAAGAGCCTTGGATCACGCAAACCCTGTTGCACTTCGCAACCCACCCCACGGAAGGTTGACGTGAATCATGATCCAAGTCTACAGATATCGAGCACGTGTGTATCCCACAAATCACATGGTGTGAAATGCGGAGATTATAAGCAGCACTCATTTCTGGCAACCAAGCTCATGAACGCCTACTCGCCCAGCAAAGTCCCTGGATGATGGACAGAGCTTCTGTTACACCACGGCAAAGCACACTCTTGTAGAAATTGCAAAGGTGCCCTCCTACATGATCAACTCATATATGGGGAATCTACACATTCGGAGGGGGTCCAACTGGGCAGTTCTTGGTACAGGGCACATCACGCTGCTTCCTGACAAACAAAGTTCGACAGTTCCAACACCTGTAAACACCTAATTTCAAAAAAGGACTTTCGGAATATTCATCCCTGTCTGGGTGATTGGTCTGTGCTTTCTTAAGCCCTTCCATCCCAGGTGCGGAGCCCTTTTCGACCTGATCCGTGCGGAGCATCAGCTTTGGAGGCTCAGCCGGGTCTGCCTGGAGGCAGAAGCTGCAATGCCACTGCAATCGGAGAGCACATACAAACTTAAAAGGATAAAGAATTGTCTTGTTCATAATTCCTTGGAATTCTCATATGGTTTTCAGCCAAATTCGCCAAATAACAATGTCATTTTTTTGCGAACGCCTCCACCATCTAAGTGTGACTATTACGGCCAACTTTGAGGAAGACTTCTGTACCACAACAGCTGGTTTCTTGACCAGACACTGATTTGGGGCCGCTCAACACTGAAGTCAACACATTTAGATGCTGAGTTGCGCTCGAACATTACGAGCACAGCCAATAGTCCTTCTCAATGGAGGCTGCGACCTCTGCCCAAAGTGGATTTCCCTGGTCAACGTCAGACATGCCGGTTCCAACCATATCCTCAGGTGGTTAAACCCCCCTGGCACCCACCCCAACCATCTTCTCAGGAGGGCCAGCTCTAGGGATGGTCATTGCAACTCTGCTTCGACCAAACACAGTGCCAGCCACCGAACCGACGGTGGGTCTCCTGGACCCGTGCGGCCTTGCCAGCGCTGAGGCAGGCCTCGAGACACCTGGACGTTACATGATTAGTGCATATGATGTCGAAGGCCGTTCTGAAGGCAAAATGTCCAGAAAATGGGGGGGAGATGCGACCAAATCGATGTTCACGCTGCAATGGCGCAAATTCCAGGATCAGTTTCCAAAACATCTAACATCACAAGGATCTTGCATGGATGCTGATGTGTACCTAGATAAAACCCTGTCAGGCCCCGGTACAATCGGTGCCTCATCTATGCGTGGCTTTCCATTTTCCGAAGTTGGAAGCAATTAGTGGGCAGTGGAACACACACTTGAGAAGAAGCTCGTGAGAAAGTAATTCAGAGTGGTGCCAAATATGGATCACTCTTTGCGATCTATATAGTTAGTGCAGCAACAACCTCATAAACCTGCAATGGCCCTGAGCAAACGGAAAGGAAAAAAGTCAGAAGCAATATGGTTACCTCATCGATGGCACTCTGCAGGTACAAGTGGTTGATCAGACCACTCATCCACCGAAATGCCATAGCTTCGATGGACTGGATAGGCAAATCGGTTCCCGTCCCCCTGCTGACCGACTGAACTAGTCGAATTCAAGCATTCAAACTTGGTGTGAGAAAGTCAGTGGAATGGAGCACTGGAGACGGGGTTTTACACATACACATACACACATATTTTACCAATAGTCGGTGGACTAATTCGTCGCGTCCTTGAGATGCCTGAACTTGAGGGTTTAGGTGGACTGACCTACTTCGGAGAACGATTTGATATCCTTCTGCAGGGATTGACATCTTCGTGAGGAACTCGCTTCCGCAATCCACAAACCTCGTACTTGCTTCTAGTGGCTCTAGTTGAGAAATCGGGAGCTGATGTCTGATCTAGCGATGCCAGGAGCCCCTTCATTTTGATGCACTTCTGTACCACCCCCCT